GGGGGGGGGGGGGGGGGGGTGATCCTGATGAGGGCCTACACCCATGGAAATACACCTACTGCAGGTACATGTAGTAAGGAAAGGATAGATGAAAGTAATCAAAGAATACTATTTCCCCCCAGATACTTCCCCCAATAGATTCTAAAAACCTGTAGGAGTGACAATACGTAGACAGAAACCCAAATTGACCACCCATGTTTAATGTAAGTAGGGAGTCAATATTAACTTCCTGCTTGTTGATAGTTGGTGAACCAGTGTTGTAAAAGTAGACATTTCTCACTAGAGGAATGTTACCCTTTTTGATGTTGAATTTTTCCATTGTTTGTAAATTATCATTTTAAAGAGTTGCTACAATAATGTATGTGTGTGTGTTTGCACTGACTTATCTTTACACTGCTTTAGTAATACCCATAAAAACTGTTTCAGTTCCACTTCCAACTCTCAATAAAATATTGTAGGTGACGAGGCAAAAGGTTTTGTTTAGCAAAATATTTTTGCAAATGTATTATAGAGACTGTGTTTCAGCACCTGTTTTAAAACTGTGTGAAGAAAAATAGGGGAGACACTTGAGATTCTGTTAGATAGAAAAAGCAGAAACATAGAAAATTGAATGACATTTCTCCGGTGAACATTTTGTCTGTACTGTATGTTTCTGTTTTCAGATGATAAAGTTTCAGGAGATTTTTAAGAAGTTCTACCTGGGTAAACACAGTGGGAGGAAACTTCAGTGGCAGCCTACCCTAGGCCACTGTGTCCTGAAGGCTTCCTTTGAAGGGGTAAGTCAACACCACTGTCTGTCTCACTGAATCGTATCTGTCGATTCAAACAATATTTATCCACTTAGTAAAGCTGACATTGCCAGTTAAGAACCACCAGGTTTTCTAAAAGCTCAATGACCAATGGTTCTTAACTTGCTGTAATTCTAATCAAAGTACGGATGGTAATGGATAGTCATATAGATTGTAATGCTATCTTGGCCAAAAATATGTCCATGTACCATTGGAAGGAAGGAATTTCTGAACATTCTGCTACATCATGGAATTTTAAATGAAACTGGAGATTTTATTTGTAAACAAAAACATTTTTAGCCAATATACATGGTGAGGGCCAGGCCTCTTACAACTAGAGACCACAAGAGATGTCAAATATGAAAATTGAGTTATAGAACTTGTCATTATATGTGTTATGACGTAGGTACAAGATTACCATGTTCATTGGTTAAAACTGGTCTGTTATTGTCAATGTATAATCTAGTGTAAAGTAGCCAGTTTGTCTAATACAGCAGATCTACTTTCTCAGTGTATTAGAATGTGTCGTCTGCTAGTGCAGATCAGGGTGGTCTGCTGACATCAAGCAAATCTACTTTCTCAGTGTATTAGAATGTGTCGTCTGCTAGTGCTGATCAGGGTGGTCTGCTGACAACTAGCAGATCTACTTTCTCAGTGTATAAGAATGTGTCGTCTGCTAGTGCAGATCAGGGTGGTCTGCTGACAACTTGCAGAACCACTTTCTCAGTGTATTAGAATGTGTCGTCTGCTAGTGCTGATCAGGGTGGTCTGCTGACAACTAGCAGATCTACTTTCTCAATGTATAAGAATGTGTCGTCTGCTAGTGCAGATCAGGGTGGTCTGCTGACATCAAGCAAATCTACTTTCTCAGTGTATTAGAATGTGTCGTCTGCTAGTGCAGATCAGGGTGGTCTGCTGACATCTAGCAGAACTACTTTCTCAGTGTATTAGAAAGTGTCGTCTGCTAATGCAGATCAGGGTGGTCTGCTGACATCTAGCAGAACTACTTTCTCAGCATATTGACACAAGTCTGACACAGTCTGGACAGAAATAAACTAAATCATGACAGCAGAAGTTTGACAGTAACAGGTATCCACAGAAAAGGAGATTGTCTGCACGTATTACATTGCTCATGGTGTAACAGTCTTTGTATGAAAATTTGTGATTTAGTAAGAATCCTCCATTTTTAGGGAAAGAAGGAACTACAGGTGTCCCTGTTCCAGACTCTTTGTCTCCTCCTCTTCAACGACGGTGTCAAGTACTCATTAGAGGCCATCAGACAGGCAACTGCTATTGGTAAGTCAGAAATAATTCAGTGGACATTTTTAAGTGGAAAAATTGTTACTGGACGCTTGTTAGTCAGAACTAGAAAGAGCTGTAAAAATCAATGTTTATACAGATTGAGAAGCCGAAAGGGCTCTTAAATCTATTATCAATTTCAAGACATGTCAAGGTCAGTCGGGGTCATCAACATCATTAACAATCGCCATCCAGGCTTCATATACAAATGAGCAATTAGCGAATGGTATATCGTGGTTATACTGTCGTATTTTGATCGACCAATCAAATGTTGTGTTACATCTCAAATGAATTAGAATAATGGTTTATGCTATTGCTGTGAACAGAGGACGGTGAACTGAGGAGGACTCTCCAGTCTCTGGCCTGTGGTAAAGCCCGAGTATTACAGAAACACCCTAAGGTACGTCTCACACTGTTACAGAAAC